CTCCCACTCGCGCGGGGCGCCCCGCGGCCGGCCAGGGCGGGGCGCACAAGCCGGCCCGGGTGCCGGGGCGTGGGGTCAGGAAACGCTCAAATCGGCATCTCAGGGATGAGGGCAGCACTTGGGGGAGCCCATCCAGCAGGCTCCAGAGTTAATACTGCTCCTTGTTATTTTCTGGCCACTTGATAAATATCAACGTGCTGTATGACGTCGTGAATTGATTTCCCTTTTTTTTCCTTCTATTTGATGTGTCTCGTTTTCCCCAGCTTCTGAAGTGGGTGTTAAATGTGGAGGTGATCTATGTCCATTCCAGAATGTACATTTCAGGAGAAGAGTGGTTTCTGTCCATTTTGTTCACTGCTGTCCCCAAAGCGCCTGGAACAATTTCTAACATGTAATGGGTGCTCAACAAGGAACGAATTAAACTACAAATTTAAGAACTTAAAAGTGTCTGTCCCTGTGTTGGTCTTATCTTCACAACTACTATTATATAGAAAAAATTATTACAATTAAGAAAAATCAGTGTTAATACTTCTCAATTAAAGCGTTTGATTTCCACCATCTTTTCTGTTGCATTTTAGTCTCACAACAGCATGATGTTACATCCAGAGAAGAAAGAGGGGTAATACCATCTTCAAAACCGTTCCTCTACCACTAACAGCCATTCTTATTTCAACTGGCAATAACCCTAGGAAGTAGGTACTCTTATTGTCCCTGTGTCAAAGGATGGAGAGTGAAGCACTGAGGTTAAGAAATTTGACACAATGTTAACACCATTAGGAAGTGGCAAACTTGGGATTTTAACCTCTGACTCCAGCATCTGTGCTCCCAGCTATGGTTTTTGACTCTCTTTGACTTCTTTCCACCGCACGTTATAGCCATTTATGTAATGGGGATTGTTATGGACTAAATTGTGCTCCCCCCCAAATTCATATGTTGAATCCCTAACCCTCAATGTGACTGTGTTTGGAGATAGGGCCTCTAAAAAGGTGATTAAGGTTAAGAGGTCTTAAGGATGGTGCCCCAATCCAATAAGACTGGTGTGCTTATCAGGAGAGGAAGAGACACCAGGAAAGGCCTACAAAGAGAAGAGGCCATGTGAGGACACAGCAAGAAGATGGCCATTTGCGAGTCGAGGAGAAACTGATAACCCTACTGATGCCTTGATCTTGGACTTCTAGCCTCCAGAACTGTGAGAAAATAAATTTCTGTTGTTTAAGCCACTCAGTCTGCAGATTTTGTTAGGGCAGCCCTAGCAAACTAATACAGACATGGTATAGGCATTGAGAAAACTTCTGGTTCTGGTTGGCATAGATCTTTCTCTAATCCAGTTTTGACCTGTATTTATTCTGCCTTCTTTTGTACTTATCACCCATAGCACTTAGCAGTAACTAGTACATAGCAGATGCTCATTAAGTGCTATGTGTCCAAAATTAAGGAAGGAATGGAACAGGAAGAGGAGGAAAGTACCAGACTTGATAGGGTATCTTTTTCCAGCTCTAATACTGTTTATTCACAAACATTTTTTCAAGTGAATAGTACCAGGTTTGGGGATTACTGCCTGGAAGATACTGCCTGGGTTACTTGACATGACTCATATCAGTGAATGATGTGAGAGAGTGGTCCCTCTCTGCTCTCGCTGCCCAACGGGCAAGGATGCCCTGATAATATGACCCTGAGATGATGAGGGAAACAGATCAAACCCATTTAGGCTGTAGGAATCAATGATCTTGTTCAGGGTAACGAAAACTTTAATTAGTTTTATGACGAGCAGCAGGAGAAGCAAAAGGAGGATCAAATTGTTTTATTTTTGGAAATTGTCATAAATGAGACATGAGCCTCTAGAAAGTACAGTTTTTTTGACACTCAAAATGGGCAATTGTGCAAACATGATACGAAAATAAAGGGCATTGGCTTTGGATCCAAATATACCTGGGTTCAAACTCCTGCTCTACTGTCTGAGATTGAATCACCTGGGGCTATGTTACCATGGTCTCTAAATCCTCAGTTAGCTTCCCTGGTAGATTAAGAAAGAAATACCCATCAGAGAGGTTTATTAAAAACCTGATCATTAATGCTTGAAAATTCCTAATTCACTGCCTAAATCATGACTAGTAGCAATTATTATTGTTAGATGTGGAGGACTCTGCCTTTGAACATATATGCTGCTGTGCCTTGCTTGTTAAAAATAACTGAAAATGAAATCTACATTTATAAAACAGGTTTTTTTTTTGAAGGCTAGAAATATTTTTTAAAAGCCTTTGATGGATTTTAAGCACAAATCCTTGATAAATCATTAACTACTTTAGCTTAGTAGGAGTGGGAGTATATATGGTGGCAGAAAATTCTAAAGTTCAACTGTGAGGAGCTATTGACAATTGAACATAAATCAGAAGATAAAGCTGTCTTGAAATCATAAACTGATGGAAAAATTTCCAAATTCTTAAAATCGGATTTAAGCACATCTTTTTATTTAAGATCTACTGCTTAGGTATAAGCCTTATTTTTTGTTTGTTTGCTTGATGATTTTTTTAAAATTAATCAAGTAAGCAATAATGTAAAATTCTTTGGTCATTTTTTATTAATACATATGAAAGAAAGAAGTGTACCTTCCCTAGCAATTGCAACCCATGAAGATGTTTTTTCTTCTATGAACAATACAATCAGTTAAAAACTGCCTTTTGTATTGTGTATTAAAAAGGAGGTAGCTAATAACAGCCCAAATTGTTGAATCAGGGCACTGCCTCCTGCCAGGGCAAAGATATAACAAAATAGAAGGTAATTTGACCTGCACACAAACCAAGTCTGTAGACAGAAAAGGGTAGAGTGTGATCAGAGGTGGGCCAAGGAGATAAATAAATTGGCATATGGAATGTTCTTTTATTTCACCCCTGGAGGACACTTTATTCGATTACCTCATTAGTGAAGTCAGCAGCATATATAATAAAAGAACAATTTTAAAATTCTCTTTATAAACGTAGCCTTTTCCCATAGCTTCAACAGCTGAATCTCCAGGCAATAAAAAGATAGTATTTCTGCTTTCACAAGTAGGTAAAGAAAAGCATAACCCTTAGAAAAAATTAAGTGCAGTAGATAATTTAGACTGGGAGATTTAACATTTGCATATTTTATTTTAGCATATCCAGAGAACCATGACACATTTAGTTTGTTGAGGCATAGTTTTGAATTTCACCGCTCCAGAATGATGTGCAGAAATCAATTATGTCGATGAGCACAGGGTCTTGCCTACTCCCCACCATCTATGTGTCAGCATAGCTTCTAGCAACCATCACATATGCAATAACTTATGCAGTGGTAAAAACTGTTTCTACAAGAACAATAGGTACATAAAAGGAAGGCAACTGTTAATTCTGGCAACAGAAATGAAAAAAAATAAGTTTGAGAAAATGATATCATGTTATTAGCCAGAAAAGAGAAAGGCCTTGGATAAATTAAAGAGTGAAATGTTCACTTTGGGCCTAAATCAGATTAGTGGTATATAGAACTGAGGAGGTGAAAGGGAGAGGGAGATTTATGATACTATTTTATTGGATGTTTCAGCCAGAATTAATTTTAATAGCTTTATAACCAGTTTTAGCCCTTTATTTATTGACTCATTAAGTGACTGCTTAATTTTTCAGTTGTATTTGAGTGTATTATATTATAGAAAATCATATACTACAATGATATTCACAAATTTGAATATTCTCAAGTCTAAGGGTATGTCTTTCAATAACAACTATCTATTTCAAATTTGAGGGATAACTAGCCAATGGATGCCGATTTCTATTCATTGCACAAAGTGAGGCAAACCTTTTCTGCCCTCTGTAGCATTGCTGTCTGGCTTTTCTCAAAATATGGCACTTAAAAATAATATTTGTGGGCAAGCTGGAATAAATATTTGAGGCTTATCTTGGCTATTGACAGGCAGGGGAATCCCATTTCTCCCAGGCCCTATCAGGCCACCATGAGGACAGGGGGCATCAATATCTCCCAGGATCTAACTCATCTTGCCTTGGTGCACTGGTTGAGAAGCTCTGCTCTGTGATAACCCATCTGGCCAAACTGGAATAAAATAATCTCATTACCACTATAAACATAAATACAAAACAGTGAAATTAACTTGGCGTTACAATGACATTAGAGATGTGGAATTCCAAACAAAACAAAACAAATACAACTCTATTCCTCCTTACTTTATTCCAACCACATTAGAAAATAATGAAAATAGTGAGTTATTATGATTACCATACATCAGAGATGGGCTAATCTAACTATAATTTGAAATATAATGAATGTCCACTTCAGGAGCACTAGTATATTCATAAACTAGCCCTCTGCCTTCATTGCTCCTGAAACCTCTCTCAAGGATTTTTGATCTAGAGGTTAGTGGATGGATTGCTGACTGGGCATGAAAGACCTGAAAGGTGAATTTACACTGACTATGGCATCCAACTTTATCCTGAAGATAAGAGAAATAAGAACGTCCCTGCCTGGTTTCTTTAAAAAGCTTAGTTCAAAGTATAATAGCAAAACAGGACAACTATGACCTGATTCCTTCTAGTCCTGGAATTATCAGAGAACCTGAAATAATGTGACATCTTTCATGAAAAGAAGACAAAGAAATATATATAGAGACGAAATGTTAAGCTACAGTGAAGTTATAATTCTATATTTTTGTAATTCATAAAATCTATAAAATTTAACTGAATTCTTATTAACCCAATAATTTGTGGCAAAATCACCTTATTTACAATTAAATCAAAGAAACTTATTTGAAATTTGTAATAACGAAATTTGAGTGTTTCTAGTCAAACTGTTTTCCACATTTCTTTTTTTCACAAAATGAAAGCATAATGCCA